AAGCCAAACACAAGATCCTATGTCCATTCATCAGGAAGCACCCACAGGTAAAAGAGGACAGTCCAGAAAAACTAATCCAGAAAAGCCCTTTCTGTGAGCACATGTGAGAAGTCTTTCACCTTCCCCTTACATGTATGTGGGGGTGTGTAGAGGGGAACTGCAGAGGACCTTATTAGATATATATTAGAACTCTGACAGTCTTTCATATTAATACCACTGGGCATGCATGGCTAGCCAGGGTGGGTATTTAGGCATTGAGTCATAATTTTTCTACTGAGCTATTTATCTAGGGACCTTACTCTGTAATTTGGTGTTACCCCTGGATGGAGGTGTATATTTATATTTATATATTCCAGATCTTGGTGTACAATTTTTCAAGGGAAGCATTTCCTGTGGTGCCTGTCAGAGTGGTCAGTGTTACATGTTGTACTGGATGTCAGGAGATCTCTTTGCAGAGTTCCATACAGATCATCAGGAAGCCATTTATTAACTCTGTTTCCTTGAGAAAAAAAATCAAGTACACCACATAACCAACAATAATATCTCTGGTCTGAGGTTTGATGACCCTTCTGGAGAAGTGTATTCACAGGCAGGTACTTGAGATGGCCAGGATAGAGCTAGTACAAATACCCAAGTGTAGAGACTTCTCTCAGCTTTGTTCTAGCACTTTACCACTTGAATGACCTACATTTTCATTCCCAAAGTTATCTGGACTGTATTTACTACCTTGTGCATCCCAGTAGATATAAAGCTTCAGATCACATACTTGTAGAAATAACAGAGAAAGCATTTGACATAATTTTCAATTTGTACTGGGCAATGGGTATTTTTTTTTTTTACTGTTACCAGTTTTTGCTTTAGTTTCCAGCCCCAGGTAGCCCATGTAGCAGTTGACTCCACTGTGCATCTAGTCCTTCTACAAGACTTAAATAATAACAGCCTTACCAGGACAGTATTTACATGAAGAGGAGTGAGATAATACAAAGGAGGTTAAACTTTGCTACATATTTTTTTTGGAACTATGCCCTACCACAAAACACATTGTTGTGGGGCAGTTTGCTGAGAAAACACACCAAGTTCCAGTTTTGTCCAAATTGAAGAGTCTGTATTCTGACTGGCTGGGACTGCCTCTTACAGAACCAAGTTGTGTCTGCAGAAAATAGCCTAGAGCTTCAACATTTTAGGGTCTTTATGAGAAAAACCACAAAACTCCTCTCTAAGCCGATGTAACTGCTAGCAAGCGGGGTACAGAACCTGAATCGAGCAGTTAGGAAAAACAATGCAATGGGTACATTGGTATTTCCCATGAGACTTTTCCAGGTTGGCATAGCAGCAAGCAAGCAGAAGGGAAGTGGGTCACAATGACCCTAATTGAGTACAAGTTAGAGAATGGTTACTAACATCCAGACAATCAATCTCGGACAAGGGTACATTGCCCAAGAAAAATGAGAACCAAAGAGAGAACAATTTTACATTGTACAAGAATTGTACAATTTTACATTGTATAAGAATTGCCATTTTATGTTGCCAAGTATGCTGTGCTAGGTAATCATTAATGGGCACAGAGACAGGTTTTTCCCATGGGAGAATCATTCTTACATGATATGGAGTCTCAGGGTAACATGGAGTCTGTTTGGTCTTTGCCCGTATAGGATGCTGCATAACAATATCACTGTGGTTCCACCAGGTAAGAAGCTGTGTGTCCTCACTTGCCTTCAGAATATTCCAGTAAGAAATGTCATTTCTTGCAGCAGTTTAGCCTTTCAATGTTGGTGGAAGGTGATGCGATACAATTACACCTTCATTCCACTATGCAGCACGGACAGTGTTTGTGTGTCCTAGAGGGCTACATTGTTTCATAGGGCTGTCATAAGACACTGCCACAATTGTGGGCTTCAGGACAATAATGTATTTTGTCCTAATTCCAGAGGCTATACATCAACATCCTCGTTGGAATGATTTCTTTTGAGGCCCACACTTTGACATGTAGATTGCCGTTTTCTGTCTCTGTTTGCACAACATTTTTCTATGCTTATCCATGTCCTTATTTTCACTTCTTATAAGTGGGCCAAGTGGCTTTATGGATTAGGCCCCACATCAAATAACTGGACTAACAATAATTATGTCTTTAAGCAACGTATGTGCAAATAGAGTCTCAGTCTGAGGTACTGGGTTGTTAGAACATTAACATGAGATTTGGGGAGGGGCACAATTTATCTGATAACAAACTGGTTTCCTAATGAGGATAGAATTTGTGGAAATGGAATACTGATTGAAAGAACATGCACATGTAACATTGCAGTAGCTACAGGCAGAGCATGATCACATTGAAGCTGCAGCTCTTAGACTGCCACCAGAAATCTCTGACTGTAGCCGCTTCTCTGAAGCCAGTATTTTCTGGGTATTGGCATAGTTTTTATTTTGGCTGTTCTGTCATCCTTGTGGCAAATAAAATTACAATGTTTCATTAATTTCCAATTTCCCAGCTGATCAGCTTAAGTCATCTTCCAGATGACTCTCAGCCATTTAGGTTTGTTATTCCCTTAGTCAAATTCTGGGCCCTATGATGTGCTCTGTTGCACCTGTAGTCTCCAAGCATTTGCCCCTAGGAGGAACCTGGGTTGACAGCTCTGTTTCTAAAGACCTCCCATAACAACAACAACAACAACAACAAAAGATAAGAAATTGTGTCAAAAGTCCTCCTGGAATGTTTTCTCTAGGTGCTCACTTCAAAATATGGAGGAGAGAGGTTTTCTCCCAACAGGAGCAGGTTTGAAGGAATTTCATACAGTCCTGTCTGGGCAGTTCTCAGTTGGGATGCATACTGCCAAGAAGCCATTTGATATGTAGAAGCCTATGTTTTCCCTGTATTGAGGATGTTCTTGGAGGGCTTAGTCGGATGAAGATCCTCATGGAGACTATTAAACACATATGTGCTGTGGCTCTATCACGGACAAAACCCTGGAAGACACCTTGCAGATAATTGTTTCACCACCATCTGCCACTCACACCAGTTTTCTTTTGCAAGTTTACTATAACCTTTTCTTAATAGGGACTAATGCCATCCACATGCCCAAATACAACATGTTGATTTTCTTTGTCTGAACTCCAGATACTAATATCAGATGTTTCAAAGCACTGCCAATAATCACAGGTCCCCTTGCCCTCCTCTTATTCTATGCCTATAATAAAGAAGATCTTTGCTGCATTTCTCTACAGCTCATGTCCATCTATGTTTTGAAATCATAGGACTTGGTGGTCCTTTACATCCCGCTAGAGCAGCCAGTTGAATATTTCATAAACCCCGATTTAATCTACCACATTTTCAAAATCAGCCTATATTTTTATTTGCAAATGGGAATTGATATTAATTCTAGCTGGTGTTTGCCCTTGATGTAAGCTGAACCAAGATTCCCTGGATCCTGGAATTGGAGTCTCATAATGACTCAGATATATGAGAAAGTTCTCTTTGTGTTTTGATATGTAATACATAGTACTGTATTTTATATACATATAATCACAAATGCTGCTTTTTTTAAAAAAAAGGTTGTCATATTCCAAGTCTGATGAGAATTAGAAATGTTGCATGAGTTCCTTTTTCTGGTGGAGGGGTTTTGGATTTGGAATAAGGTACAGCTCATGCTGAGTCCCAGTCCAGCTAATTAGCTGTGGGGCTTTGACCACAGGATGAAACAGACGTCATAGCCTGGCCATTAAGTCTAAGGCCAAATTGTCAAATAAGAAGTATTCATTTCATGTTTGAAACAATAGAGTCAAGCCTGTGGACAGATCTGAAGACATGTGTCCCCCACTTCCTGGGACCCCATTTTCCTTTGTTTGCTGTCTGATAGCTGCAATGGGAATGGAGCTGTGAAAACCTTTCAGTGGGAAAGAGTGTCCTGCTTTGGACACTTCCCTATCCTCACTCAGGCACTGTCTCCCTGGGATATTGGGTCTGAGGAGAAATATTATTAAGGAACTGTGTCCATCACTTATGGCATAAAAAATAGGGGACCTGGACTGGGGTTGTGGCTCAGTACTTACTCACCTAGCACACATGAAGATTTGATCCTCAGCACCACACTTTAAAAAAATAAAATAAAGATTATATTTCCACCTACAACTAAAAAATAAATAAATAAATAAAAAACAAGGGACGAGGCTCTTTGTTTCAGAGGACAGGGGACCTATAATAGTCAAATCTGAATGTGTTTGCTGCAATATGGCATTACAATCAGGAAAGTTTAATGAAATTGCACAGTAATTGTCATTATATTATTTCCACTCGTGAATACTATGCAGACATATAATTCATAAGTTGAAATTACCTTGTATGCGAAGTTCATCACACATGTTCCCCTGCGTGGTTAAATCACTCTTCTAAGAGGAAACTTTGCCTTCAATTAGTTGTAGCCTGAGGCTCTCTTGTCTAATATGAGATATCCTGGAAGGTTTAAACCCAGTGAGTTTTGGGATATAGTTCCAAAAATACATAAGCTTCATTAGTAATTTTATACATGTGACATTGGTGTAGGACAGTTGAGGTCAGGCTCCCAAGGAATTTGTAGGAAGCAGGTTTATTTAAGCTTTAGTTGTCCGGAGGAGCTAAGGATGAAAAATCTCTTCATCCAGGGAAACAAAGTGAAATTTATCCTCCCTGGGTGTTTACATAACAGTTACTCTCTTTCTGATATTTTTAGCACAGGGGTTTTACAGGTTTTTCCCAAGAAAAACAAATACTAACTTTTGTACACCAAGCTCTCTTGATACAGAGTCTGTTACAACATTTGTCTGTAAATTTGGCATTTACAAGAAAGAGGAAACTTCAAACCACAGTGAGATCTCTGCAGAAAAAAAAAAAATCCTGCCCACATTCTTTTGGGGCTACATGAACATAATGATAATAATCTGGATAATATTCTGGATATATTCGATTATGACATTACAATCAATTACCCTCTCTCTTTTAAATTTTTAAAGCGAATATTAGAAAATTTTAAGTTACCCTTGTGCTTCACATATGGTTTTCATTGGACATTGCTGCCTTAGGGGATTGCTTTCCAGGTCAATCTGCAGAGTCACACGACAAGAGAGCAGGAAAGTTAAATGAAATTGCACAGTAATTGTCATTTTATTATTTCCACTCGTGAATACTGTGCAGACATATAATTCATAAGTTGAAATCACCTCGTATGCGAGGTTCATCGCACATGTTCCCTGGCGGTGCTAGATCACTCTTCTAAGAGGAAACTTTGCCTTGATAGCTGTAGCCTGAGGCCCTCTTGTCCAATTCACAGTCCTCAAGGGTGTGATCTCAAGCCAAAGTAATTCCATTTTGTTTAATAACTCCATTTTGTAACACAGCCGTGCCACATAGGGGCAAGTTGTTTTTCCTTTTCTTGTAGAGACCCTCAAGAACATGGTACTATCTAAGGGGGCTTTGTTTCAGTAACTGGGGTGACTGGGCTAATTGTGATTGGCTAACCTTCCCGCCGCCTGACTGCAATCTACCACTTCTGTAACTTCGCTTGCTTGCTTTGGCCAAACCCCCTAACGTCCCTTTCGTGGTTTTTAAGCTTAAAAGAAGCGTCCTTGAAATTGTCCTTGCAATTGTTCGGGGGATCCGGAGCAGACTATGTTCCCGGTCAGTGGCAGGTGTGCTTCAAGGCTTGATTCGATAATACGTGAGTTGTCTGGAAGTCAATTTAAGAAGTCCCGGACGTTGCTTTAACTACAAGAGAAAAAAATAAAAGTTGTCAACAGGAACCTGTCATTCTGGCCTCACTGATTCCTGGGTTGGATGTCATCTACTGTCACTCAGAAAGAAGGCTCTCTGGGCTCAGCCTGCGGGGCGGGTCTGCAGCCCTGTGCAGCGGAGAGCACTCGGGGAGAACCGTCTAATCCCGGCACAGCCAGCGAGGATGGAGCGGCTTCCGCGATCTGGCCGGGCACTTTCCTTCTGAGCTGCCCTTCTCGCGATCTGGCTCTAGGCTTCTGTCGCCAGCCCTGGGGTCTCGCTGGCTTTGCCCTGCGGGTGCTGAAGATCCCTGGCGGCCGCCTGGCTCCCGAGCGCCAGGAAATGGTGAGTGTGGCGGGGCCTCTTGAGCCCGGGGAGGGAGGTCGTTGGAACCGCGGGACTGGCTGCGGTGGGACCAGGAGCTGCTGGGGACTCCGGGCTCCGCGGCCTGAGCCCTCCTCCTGGCAGCGTCCCCTCAGGCCCCTGGCCAGCCAGGTGGGGAGCGTGACGGCAGCGGAGCTCCTGCCCAGCCTGCTGCACCACCTCAGCTGGCCCTAGAGAGTCAGGAGCCTGGTGGATGGTGATTGACAGGTGGGCGGTGGTCTGAGAAGTCTATCCACGTGGATTTTCCTGCTGGAGAGGAGCAGTGGCTCTGGGCCTCGCTGCCGCCGTCCGCCTGAGCTAGCTGGCTTTCTTGCTTTTTTCTCCCTCCTTCCCAATCTTCCTTCTGCAGGGTGCTTTACCAGGAGCTCCATCCCTGGTTCTGATGTAGGGCGGAGGGGGCGGCACCTGAGGAATTCGCGGGCAGCAGGTTTACTTAAGTTGCAGC